TTTTTCTTGTTTACAAATACAGCTAAATGAATGGCATGGGCAAAGCATAGTTGATGTTGTGGTTTTATGTTTTATTAGTTTTCCAAATTTTGTCATAACGCTGGCACAACCTGTGGTTACACCAACGACATCACTATACGAAGAAAGATTAATTTTTTTGTAGTTTATTCGACACAGCCATAAATTCTTCCAAAATTTAACATTTCCTTTTACATCAAGTCCATGTACATTTACATTCATGTACCTTTTATTGGCTGTAGATTACATTGATTTGAACAAAGCAAACAGTATTCGGCGTGAACTGACATTTAGCTGTCACTTACAATAAAAAAATAATTGCAACGGCAAAGACAAGAGGGCATAAGCTTACATCTTTGTTATTATTTGTTGGATTTACATAAGACAAACGGCATTCAATGTAAAATGTCATTTAGTTATCATTTACAATGAAAAAAATGATGTGCTGACAGACATTTGGAATGAGAAAACTGTATTATTTTTTTGTGCTGTCGGGTAATTACTTAGTAAGTCTGGGATCATGTTGAGAATGAGGTTGCTATTAGTTTCATGCAACAGTCCTGTTTTGTCCCGTTGCAGTTTTTCCTTGTATTGACTACCTACCGTCAGCAGTCTCTGCCTGATTTCCATTTCCAGTATGAAGATGGGTTAGATCCTATATCCAGCATAGACCCACCATCTCTCACATCGTCCTTGTGGTGAATATTGTCCTAGTGATTTTATTTGTAACTTTTTCTGTTTACCCCATTATATTCTTCATTAGTAACTTATTAACATATTATTTTTAATCATTGTCAGACAATTATTATGTAATTTGTTATAGCTGACTATCTTATCCTGTAGAAATAAATCAATAAATTCAATTTCCTTCACCCTTATCAACGAAAAAATATAAAATGAAACACGTTTGGCCACAACTGATATCAACGACGTAATAAAGGGAGTCTCGGGGATATAACTCTGGTTCTCAATTTTACGTTTTACTAGTTCATCCGGACTTTATTGATTTGACAGTGTATAAGTGTCCGCGAGCAGGACGTTTATCCGTGAGCACTAACAAGATTATCAAACATTGAGATTTAAAAGCTAATTAAAATTTGTGAAGCTGTTATAATTACAATTTTTAATATCATGATTAGCTAAATAAACAATACAATTAAAAATTCTCAAAACGATCAGTTTTTGAAGTTAATACTTACACTTTAGTTTATGCATTACAATTGAGGTAACTCAAAATGACAGATTATTAGAATTTACCAATCAAAACCACTGCATAACCATGTCTACTGCAAATCCCATATTATGCACTTAGCTATCCTAATATAGGGTAGTAGTGTTTCCTAATATTGGATGCACAACCAAGTGTTTACAATAAATGGATAATGCTGCAAAGAAATTTTAATTAAAATAATATAAACATACATATTATTTACAGAAATCACAAACATAATTTGTATCATCGTACCCAGCACATTCCGAATGAGACCATTTAAGACACATTATACATCTTATCCTTTGTTCACCAGAAGAATTATCAGAAAAATGAATTTCGCAAAAGATACATGCATCATTTTCATCTTCAGTAAATGGTGACTAACAAACCTCTTCATCTAGGGTTATTTCGACCTCAGAATCCGATGATGTTGATGATGACGATACAGACAACCATTGTTTTTTAATTTTGTTCTGCTTTTGTTTCATTTTCGGAACTTTAGGGAATTTCTGATTTTTTATCTTATAATATAAGTAATAATCTAATATACAGGGTGAACTACCTTTATGTGATGACACCATCCCATTTTTTAAACGTAATCTCTCATTTTTTACGAATTTTCGTGGTGGGGGGCTTTAGACATTCCCTTTTTAGCATATTTTTTTTTAATAAAAGGCTCATAAATCGTAAGAATTTTCATATCGAGGAGGGGGGGATCATGGCCTTCATAGCCCCCTTCCCCTGGAGCCGCCCTTGATTTCCCTTGCTGAGTTGTTTATAAATTCATTATTAAGTAAATAAACAACAATAATATTAAGCATTTTTAAAACATTTTTTTGATTTTAAATTAATGTTTAATTAAAAGAATAATCTAATATACAGAGTGAACTGTCTTCGTGTGATGACCTGATGACGTCATCACCATTTGCTTGTTTTAATAGAGCTCTCCAGTTTTGCCATTGTTGAATACCAACAGGGTGGGCAAAAAATACAAAAATTACTTGCAAAATAAGAAGTACAGTCTGCTCGCTATACTTACGCGGGTTTCGGATTAACAAAATTATGCAAATTAGTCATTGACAATCAGTTCCAATAAGCCTCTTTCCAAGAAATTAGGTAAAATTGCCCTAATGGTCAGATTTAAATTAAAATAACATTAGGGTAGGTACTAAATTTGTTACAAATATTGCAGTTGAATTGATTCTTTGCAAGTGTTGACATTGTATGTATATTGTAAATTTAGTGGAAATTTTAAAAATGCCTAAACGTGTGTTAGATGTAGATAGTCTAATTTATAGTGTACATAAGTATTTTACGGATGAAAAAGAAAATGGCGGACCTTTAAAATCGGTAATGTCTGTAACAAAGCGTATGCTAGGAATTAGCGAAACCAAATTAAGAGTATTACAAAATCACAATAGTGAACTGCCGAAAGAAGATCACCGAAAAACTCGCCCATCATTGAAAACGAAAGATATTCCAGATGGAAAGAAATTTGAAATTCGTGATACCATTTATCGAATGAGGGCCAACAAGGAACATGTTACCTTAAATACAATTTTCTCGGAATTAATAGATAAAAAATTTGACGACATTGGCAGAACAAGTCTATGGCAAGTGATACATAACTTGGGTTTCAAATTTCAAAAGGAGGATAACAGAAAGGCCTGTCGTGCACAAGAGAATTAACTTTCTAAGAAAATATCCTAAATTTAAAGAAGAAGGGGCAAATTTTATATATTTAGTCGAAACGTGGATATTTTCTAGGGGTTCAACCAAGAGAATATGACGTAAAGTCCATCAAACATACCAATGGAGAAGGAAAGCGACACATAATTTTACATGCAGGAAGGAAATCGGGTTTTATAGAAGGTGCTGATTTAATATTTTCAAGTAAATCAAAATCCAGTGACTATCACGATAATATGAACACAGAAATGTTTGTAAAATGGGTGCATGAAAAACTTCTCCCAGGTTTAAGTGAGCCCAGCGTAATTATTTTAGACAATGCACCTTACCATTCTGAAGTATTAAACAAAAGTCCAACGAATTCTTGGACTGTTGATAAAATTAAAGAATGGTTGACAAAGGAACATATACCATTTCCTCAATATATATTAAAATCAGAATTATTAAGCTTGGTAAATATACACGCAAAACTAAAAACCTGCCACCGTATCATTGCCAGTTTAATCCCATCGAATATATATGAAGAATAGCAAAACAATATTTTAACAACCATATTGGGCCTAATGGTTATAGTGACGACGCAGTTCGGGAAACTTGGCGAAAAGCACTTTCAATTGCAACTCCAGAAGTGTGGCGGAACTGTATATCCAAGTGCGAGAAACTAATAGAAGGTTGGTAGACTCGTGAAAAGAAAATAAACGAATTAAGTCCAATCATAATAACAGTTAATGGTGATGACAGTGATGATGATGATGACAATTATGATATTTTGGATGATAGTGACTGATTTTTATTTTTGTTGGCAAGTTCAATTTTTTTATTTTTCATTTGAAATTCTCTACATGGAACAAAATTTTTATATTTATTTGAGCTAAATAACTCTCTTATTATACATAGACCATATTTTCTGTGTAAAGTGTAATATAAAATTATTATTAGGTTTATAATAGTCACATTAGACTCCATTAATGAAGAAGTTTAATTCTGCTCTCAATTATTCAAAAGATGTACATTATTTTTAATTTCATTTAACCAGTTGATATTTCCCCAAAGAACTTTCGGGTACTTACCTGGAAATACTCATAAAATGTTTAATCCGAAACCTGCGTAAGTATAGCGAACAGACTGTAAGTTATGTATTTTTTCAAGTGTTTGGTGCAAGAAAGATGCAGCTCCAGCTTTTTTCTGATTTCTTCTAATTTCTCCAAATTGTAAGTTTTGAAATAGTTGCAAATATTAATTTAAGGTCTCTATTATGGATTTTGAGTTTAAAATAAATCTTTTTTTTTTACACTTTTTTTTCAATTTCCCAACAATTACCAAAAATGAAGCTGCATCCTTCTTGTAGCAAGCTCCTCAATTGAATTGCAAGAAGTTAAGGTTTGTTAATTAGGGAGTTAATTAGTCAGTTAATTAATGAGCTAATTACACTTCTAATTTTTCAATATTTCTTAGATATTATTTATTTATTAATAATTGATGCTTTCTTCATCAATTTCAAATACAAGTAATTTCATTTAAAGTCAGACACCTTTTGTTGATAACTTTTAATTTTATCTTCATCTTTAATGCAATTTCTAACTGTGGTAAATGGTTTTAATTGCTAAATGACGAGTACCTTGCATACGACAAATTCTTCGTGAAACGACAACAAATAGGTTCCAGGAGTCGAGTCTGAAAAGAAACATTTATCTTCTCTTTTTATTTTAATAGCTTCTCCTATCGTATATCTGCCGACTTTTGCCGGTTTTTTAAGAAGATGAATTTTTATGACAATATTTATTTAAAATTACCTTATCCTAAAAAATACTGTGTGTAAAAACATGATAAAAATAATTGCTAAGTCTTTTGTAAAAAAGTTTGTTTGTTTTACAGCTACAGCTTTTTTTATAAAAATAATGCATATGTCTATATTGATGGAATAATAAAAAGTTATTCACAAGTTAGACGTCCGACTTGAAGACACTTAACCACTGCCTTATTGATTTTTCTTTACTGTTGGACAAACAACGTGGTTTCGGGTGTATAACTAAACCACTGAAAAATAAATTTACTATATCGTTGCATTTGTAATTTTCAGGTGGATATTATATACCAAGGAGAGGTTTTGAAAAAGGACTTCAGTCTAATGGACGTCGCGTATACTTTCAAATGGTCAAGGGTGAGTATTTTTTTATAATTAATAATAATCATTTTAATAGTGTAAAATATCCATTCTTTTTCTTTCATTTGTGTTCACGATTTTTTTATTTCACTATAATGTGTTTTCGGGTTTTTCTTACTTTATTGTGTCTGTGTAAAAATTAAGAAATATATTTATCGAGTATAAGTCAAATATAATGATTTTCCAGAAAACGCCTCCAAAGTTTTCTGAATATCTTTCCCTTGTATGCATAAAATTGATAGGTTATTTATTATACGTTTTCTGCAAGACAAATATGTTTTATTTTATTGAAAGTTAATAAACAAAAAAAATTAAAATATGAAAATCGGTGACTTGTACTGAATTATTTTTTATTAAAAATATGAACAAAAATTATAGGAGATAGCTACTTTAAGCTGAAATTCGAAAACAAAATTTTATTCTAGCTCTTCATCTTCTTCTTCCACTAGGTCGGGTAATGTGCTTTTGGCATTGTTAGTAGTTTTCAGATTTTTATAAAAATCGTGAAAGTCTGGACTATAGTCTATTTTTATGTATGAGAGAGTATTAAAATAATAAAGCGTTCGTAATCCATAGGCGTATCACTTCTTTTAGTAGACAGTAGTAGTAGACAGATATTTTTTGAAGTTATTCCTCGAGTATACACTTATATTTTAACCTAATTAACCTGCTTATAACTTCTAAACAGCTGAAGGTAAAAAAGTGCAATTTTTTCTAAAATGTTTTATTTTTCCACAAGGTATGTTAAGAACATTGTGTCAAACGGGTTATGTAGGTATAAGGATTTAAACTTTGACTTTTAAACAACGTTACGTTCATAAATAATAATTTTAATATAAAAACTACTTACCTACAAATCCAAATCAGAATCGAAATCAGAAGATGAACTGTCCCAACCAATATTTACAATGAGTGGCTCGATCATTTCATCAGTAATATTGTCCAACTTCCACATTTTCTCTTCTTCTTTAATCGTATGATTTACTGCCTTTTCCCAGTTTTCAGGCTTCACATTATTTACAGCCTCCAAAAACAACTGTTTAACATCACTCATTTTAAAAGAATTATTTTTTCTTGAAACTTCTCCCTTTATCTGTGCCCATATCAGTTCAATCGGGTTTACTTCGCAATGATATGGTGGTGATCTAACCACCGTCATACCACGATTTTTTTCAATTTCATCAATTTCCTATTTTTTTAATTTCTCTTTATGAAGGGAACACAAATGATACAGTTCTTTTCTCACAGAACCGGGATGGAACTTAATATTCTTTGAATTTAGCCAATTCTGTAAATCTTTTTTTAACCACTTGGTTGTGGGCATTTTTTCTATAAGTCTCGAGTGATAACTTGTATTATCCATTACTATTATACAGTTCTGAGGAAGAAGATCTATAATTTGTTCGAACCACTCTTTAAAGACATCAACATTCATGTCCTCATGGTAGTCAGCGGTACGAGTGGATTCAAAAGTCAATAAACCACCTTTAACAAAACCGTTTGAACTACCGATGTGTACTATTATTAGTCTGCGCCCCTTTCCTGATGGTGGATTTAAACCAGTAGATAAATTATTTAAAAAAGCCTGTCTTCGACTTGTAACAGTTTCATCTTGCCAAAATTTATTTGGTTTATGTCCCTCGTTGATCCATGTTTCATCTAAATAAAATATATTTCTTCTTTGGTTTCTCATTTCTTTTATAGTCCTTAGGTAATTTCTTCTTCATACTACAATATCGCTTCTTTCTATTAAAATAGACTTTCTGGAATGCTTTTTCCATTTCCATTTCTTTTAAAAGTTTCCATAGTGTGCTTCGACTCATTTCAGGGTAATCCTTATCATCTCGAACCGTGGCAAGAACTTTGTCTACTGTCGGAAATTCTTTTCTAAAGAAGAACGCATGCACTTTCCTTCGAAGTCTTTCTTTCAAAAGATTTTCTAATTGAAATTTTGGTTTTCCTGGAGCTTTACATGCTGTTTGAAACTCGCCACATTTCTCTTCTTTAACAACTCTGTAAATCCCAACACCAACACCAAGCGTACTACTAACTAATTCCACTGTGTCATCAACACTTTTACATAAGTGTTTGTCTGTAAATGATTTAAAACAATTAAATATTAATGTTTTTTCATTAACTGTTAAAGGACCGATTTTTGTCGTTTACGCGGCCCTTCCAAATTTTCCAAAATCACACTAGAATTCACACTGCACCTTGCAAGTTGCAACTAAACGACATTTAGTAAACTGTCAAGAATACACAACTTGGACCTCCTTACTAAATGGAAAACCTATAATCGCATTTTCGGTGAAATTTGTTGGGAAGGTATTTATCTACTTATAATTCGATTACTGTAAGAAATTCTTGGAATTAAAATAAAACAAAATTGGCAAATAGGTACTTATTGAAAATAATCTTAAGATACGTAATATGTAATCTTTAATACACAGCCTGTCCAAAACTTTTTCTATTGTTCTGTACAGCTTATGTTTATAAAGGACCAATAAAAGACCCAAAACTTGTAATAGCTCAGGTACATTTATTACAATTTTAGGAAATATTTAGATTATTCTGTAAAAATATTTAAAATGACCGTACTAAGTTTTGCATTAGAAATGCTGTTTTATTACTCTCTCATACATAAAAATAGATTATAGTAAATCCAGAAGAGCCAAGATATCTTTTTTTGTTTTTTTTTCATCAGAAATTAGTAATGAAGATGGATATCAAGGTAGCGGATTTAAGGGTGTATCTTGTGATATCCTTCCTTCTAAATTCATACATCGAAATTCTTCCCTTTCGTCTAGTGAAGACTTAACGGTACCTTAGTTACCGCAGCTCTGTTCACTTGAAGGAGTTACCATTGCTATCTTTTTGTTTTAGTTTAAGATGGCTTTTATATAGGTCGGAATAGTTTACGAAATCTTTCTAGTTTAATTCCACCACTTGAAACTTTTTCTTTTTTCCAGTAGCTCATACTAACTGGTACCAATCGTGGAGAACTAAAATTTGCATCTGTAGATGTTTTTTTTTTGTTTCTTTATTATCCCATGATCAACATCCCATTCAAGGTGGCTACGATCACTGACCATAAACTTGTGGTCTATTTGCTCCAGCTGATGGAATTGCTGCAAAAGCGTTAAAAACATTGCTGAGACATGTGAATTTCTGTTTTGGCCCCCACATGAATCTGAACATAAAATGACTTTTTTGATTTGTTGTGGCAAACTTGACAGTTGTTTAAAAATACATGTGGCGATTTGGTTGGCTCCTCTTCCACCTTCGGCCTCGTGCCACATGAAGTAAGTTACATCCCCTGTTGTCGTTTCATGGAAAGTTAGGTTGAACGTCCACAGTTGGCGTTTATAGAATGCCACCGACGTATTTAAGTAGGGTGTTGGCAGGCACTGTTGGAGGTCAAATGCGTAACATTTAATGGTGTTGTCCTCCTTAGCACGTTGTTTGTCCTCTCGATTTTTAGTATATGCCAAATCTGCCTCATCTTGATGTTTAGTTTTCTCATCTTGTATAAACTTTAACTCATCTTCTGACTATGCTACTCTTTCTTTCATAGAAAGTACATCACACTTGTGACAAGTATCTGCTTTTGGCTCTTTCAATGAAATGTTGAGTGTTTTAAACTCGCGCTCATAAATTGATTTAGAGGCAGGGTTTGTAACTTGTTTCACATAGAGTGCATACATTTTTGTCAAGCTTAGGTAAGCAGGTAAATATTTGTTTTTTCTTTTTTTTTCTGGTATAGTGGGATTCATAGGCGGGGAAGGATTTTATGTGATTATGAATTACTCGAATGGTGTTGTCCGAAAGTTTATTAGCAGGCGAGTCTTTACCTCTTTTACTGGGTTCCAAAATACCTGTGGTTGATCTTTGGGCAGACGCAATAGCAATTGGCTGCGTTCATCCGCGCCATTTCAAGGAGCGCTACAAAAGTAGCGATCACTTACGCTACCTGATCGATCTTTATGCACGGATGAACCATGTTTAAAAGTGACATTTGATTTTGGTTTATTCATTTTACTTTTGAGTTGAATATGTCTCTGGTTGAAGATTTGTTTGTTTATTTTTCAATTGCTAATATGCTAATATAACCCTACTAGTCACCAAGCAAACCGTGGACGTAAGTGCGTAAGACAGATCAGTGATCACCGATCAGACGTAAATAAAATGCGCTACTTTTAATGGCGGCCGCTCCTTGAGCGAAATGTCAAAATACACCGTTCATACGTGCCACTCGAGAGCGCTACCAGATCGATCAGGTAGCATGTGGCGCGGATGAACGCAGCCACTGTCAAGAACATGTTTGTTTCCCCTAAAGTTTTCTGAAAGCAACCTCGACAAATCTTAGACAGTTTCCCATTAATTTTAAAATAAAATGTGTTGGTGTACTGTCTAAATTTTTCTTTGTCAGGATCATCGGTTCGTTTCCGAATAACTTTAGGCTCATTTAATTGAACTAAATTAGCAACGAATTTCGTTCTTTCATCTCGACTTCCGAGGCTCCAATATTCTTTAAAATAACTTCCTGGATCTCAGGGGGGATTCGTTCCATGCACTTGGCACGGCAAACTGTCAAAGCTGTCATTGCCCTTGCCGGTTTTACTTTTCCGTCAAGAGTTTCATAGCTCTTCCCAGCATTTCGATTTTTATATTTTTCTATTCTTCTTTTTTTGGAAAATTTTCTGTCAGTAAGTGTAGCTTGGATTACATTTTGTTCTAAATGTAGTTCCTTCGATCTATTTCGTATTTTAGACCTAGAACTCCGTGTTTGATGGAAAACTTCTTCATCAGAGGAAATACTCTCCTGTTCAGGGTTATAATCTGAAAAAATAGACAGTCAGGATACTTGTTACATTTTCTGAGCCTCAATTATCTATAAAAATAAATGCTTACCTTCGTCAGTTTCTTGACTAAAACTTTCAGCTATTTCCATGTCTTGTACTAGTTGAGTGTGTTGGTCTTCATCATAGACAGAACTC